TAGGAGTATGTAAAATATGTAACAGAGCATGGTTCTGCTTCATATGGAAAAATCCTTACATACTAGATTTGTACAGGGAATCTCTTCACAAGGTTTTGACTCTTACCACAGCAAAGGGCAAAGCAAGTTTCCTCGGCAAATGTCACTAGCTGCTGAAGATGCATCCACATTGTTAACTCTTGTGTTTGAATTTAATGGAATATCCTGCACCTCTGTGTATGGTTATGCTTTGTCCCATATTGCCTGTCCCTGCTGAAATCACTGATTTGAAACTAATAAGTCCAAATCAAAGGGGATGACTAAGCTGATGGTAATATTTCATACATGTAAGTTTACCTCCTGGACAAATAGCTGAAACTCGGTGAGTGTCATGAATATCACGAGAATCTGAGTGAGACCAATACATGGTTAAGACATGGATGCTGGATCGTGAACTTGCATCATTGAGGGTGAAGCTTGTGATGGTTAAGGTTAATGATGCCAAATGTTGTGAGGCAGCTGTTCTCAACTTCCTACAACTCCCATCCAGACCTTAAAACTTCAGCTTGAAGTTCTTTGTGCCTGGTGTCTGTTGCAGGTTCTCCAGAAGTAATCAAAATGATCTTGTGCTTGTGTATAAGCATATAAAAATTATAGCAGCAATCTGCTTTGGATCAGGGGCTTAAAATTTGGCGGTAGTATTTCTCTGGGATTAGAGAATTTGGACTACTTGAATATGCTTCTATGGTTGGCTAAGTTAGCAGTCTCTGCAGAATTACAAAATCATGTGTGATTGTTTTGAAAACTAACTTCTCAAGATGTTCTGTTGGCATGGAGTATCCAACAAGTCATTTTTGGGGGACTATGTAGGTAGGTCCTGACAGTGACTTTTATCCCACCTGATTTCTGGCATTTAACTGAATCTGGGGAGGTTCATATTGTCTGGAGTTTAATAGACTTCTGCCCTTTTAGTGACCTGAAGAAGGATCTCCAACTACCTCATGCCTCAAGGAGGACTTTTTTTCCTGATTGTTTTTTATCTTTTTACTTTTTCTTTTTTCTTAAGCAGACTGTTGTAAACTGTTGAACTCGCAAAACGAAGTATATTTAGCAAATCTTTACTGACTTGCTGGGAAAGTAGAGGTTGTGTACTTTGCAATTTTGTTCTGGTGTAACTAAGGGTTTCCTGAATTTTTTAGTACTTACCATTGCATACATAGAAAAATATGTGGATCATGTTGATGGACTTAGACAATAGCAGCAATAAATTAAGTCCCATTCTCAATATCTCTCTTACTGAAGAGTTTGAATACTACGGGGTGGTTAGTTCTCAAGGAGTTAAGTGGAAAACTTTTAATTCCTTGTGAGTTAATTTAGTGGTTCTTTTGGAGATCTGTGTTGGGACCATGTAGGGTGGACTGTGGGTGTGACTTCTTTACTGGAAGGTGACTTTACTGCAGAGATGACTTCCTGAAGATGAGATTTTAGATCATTATGATGTGTTTTATCAACAGAAGCATAAATATATGATGCCCGGGAAGCCTCAGCTTCTCCGTTACACAGATACTACACAATACTAGTCAGACTATTTTTTGTTTCTTCTGCTCCTCTTTTCCAGCTGAGCAATTCACTGGTTTATAACAAGGAAGGATTCTGTGGGGCTTCTAGCACCTGAATGGTTTGCATTATTTGATACATAAAAGGATTTCTTAATTATTGTTGTAATTTGTACTGGGAAGGTTTATCTGCCAACTTGGAAAAAGAGAAACGATTTAAAACAGAAGACAGATCTGGAGTCTGACAGGCTGTTTCCTGCTCTCTCAGGAGAGTATGAAATTGGCAAAAGGCTCCCACTCCTTCATGTCTTGCTAGCTTTCTGCAAAAGGGAAGTAATGCTTATCTGAAAGAAGAGATCTGGAGCTAAGTATCTTTTCCAAATAAACGTCCTTGAATTTATTTCATTTAACCAAACAACAAATTGAACCTCCAGAGCAAACCAAAAAGCAAAGTTTTCTGCCTGGATAAGGAACCTGATTGGTGCCAAGTGCTGTAGGCTAGTGAGATCCTGTTGATTTTAGCAGGGCAGCTTGACTTTGTCTGATACTTTGGAACAGAAATTGAAGACAGAAGGACAGAGTTTACACTTGCTGGAGGGTCCCAGTCTTCTCTATCTGGATGTGTTCTGCAGCAAGTGGTCAGAGTGAACTGTGGTGTTAGTAACGGCCTGTGTTGTGACAGGCATTTTATTGAGGCTTTTGTATTATTAGCATTTTATTTGTGTTGTCTTTTGTAAATCCTATGTTTCTTTCCCTTGTTTACTTCAATCTGTTCACCTTATAACCATATTCTCTTCTACTTTCCTTCTAAAAATCCTTTTCCCTTTTTCACCTCAGTGTTCTCTTTCTTCCTTTTGGCTTTCTTTCCCACCCGTAATTTTTTGTTACTCCCCATAACGCCCCTTCCATCCTTCCTCCTTCCCTCCATTTCCATAATGAGCCATTTCACTTTCCTTCTTTCTATTCCCGTGTTTTCCTTCTCTTGAACTCTTGCTTCACATCTTGAACTCCCGCGTTCATTGATTCCTCCTGTATTTTTTTCCCCAGTTTCTCTTCCTTCTCTTTGTATTACTTCCTACTCAAACTGTATCTTTCCAAACAGTATTCTGTCACGTTTCGAGGATAGGTGATGGACAGAGGACATATGCCTGCTGCCAGGGATGTGGCTATGAATACACTGGACACAGAAGTGGTCCTCATGTGCCCTGCAGTGTTGGTGCCTGCTTCCTAGGGAAGGCATGTCCTCCTTCAGGCAGGTCTCAGCGCTGAAGCCAATTTCAGTAGAAACTGAACAACTACATGTACTGAAACTACATCCTCAGCACTTACTGAGAAGTTACATTGTGATATTTTTGAGAAGATTTCTGAGATTCCTCATGCTCCCCTTTCCTCAGCAAATCGCTGCTAGGATGATGATATATAAGAAGACGAGAAGTACAATGAAGCTGTGCTTCGTTCCTCTTCTACTCTAGTCTTCCACCCCACACACTGGGTGGTTCTTGTTGCGGCCTCATGAATCTTGTATGTGATTCTGGTGTGCATATTTTTGTAAAAAAAAAACCCCGTGGCTACAGTCATTTATATAACGTGTTTGCTTTGCCATCACGTGTAACGCCTGTTTTTCTTCAGTCTTCACACCTACTGTTTGAAAAGTAGCCTAGTCTTTTGTGGTAGTGTGCAGCACAGCAGACTATTTCTACTTGTGAGTTTGAGCTGTGTGCAGCGTAACATTGACCCTTTTTCTAAAATTCTGGTCTGTTTCCTACATGTATTACTGAAAACCATTACGGGCGTTTCTGAATTTGAATGAGTGGCTCTAGAGAGAATATTTCCTCTTTTGCATTTACCCAGCTAAATCATCAGCCTGACAAACTATCAGCTCAGCAGGCTCTTTGGAAAGGCCCTCTCTCTCTTTCCCCCCTTCTTTCCTTTTAATCATTTCCAAGTATTTTCTCACCTCTTTGTACATTTCCAACTTCACCCCACTCTTCACTGATGCTGTGGGACAACGCTGGTAGAATGTTTAATTAAATAAATGTTCAATTCTTATACTGTATTGTGCAACGGTTGAGTAGAGTTATTATAAAATATGCTCACTCTAAATGTATTAAATTAAATTGTACTAATTCTCGGACTTGATAGGGATCTTCTGGACGCGTTATTGCATGTTTGATTTGACACTGAATTTTTGAACAATTAGCATTTCATTGCCTGTATTCTTTCTAGTAGTGGCAAATTTTGTTATAGGTATTAATCACAGCAAAATCCTTTTTGATAGTGTTACTGAGTTATAGAAGAGCCTTTGGATGCAAAGGCTTGGAAGTCAGAACTGCGAACTGTTCCTGAAACAGTGTGTGAGTAATTCTTACTCGCATTGCTAACCCTCCTGGCTTCGATTAAATCAAATGAATCTAAGCACAGAATGGTAATTATTTTGGCATGGGAAAGCTGACAGTGTTTTCAGAGCTATTTTTATTGCTACATTTTAAAATATCACTTATTCCAATCTTCCCCCTTTCTTTATTCATCTTGCATAAAAATAATCCATCAACTGTTTCTGGCTGTTATCTGCAAAGTGAAGTTTGTGTGTTCCTTTGAAGCTGAACAGAAGGAAACATCATGACCGTGATTTCAGTGTCTGCATATAATATAGTCATTTATTAAAAACTGTTTATAACGTCCAACCCTTTGATTTTCAAACCTGTTTATCTAGAAAATATCCTAGGTATTTTACGGTCCTAAAATAGCTTGAGTTCTGTATTTAAAGCTCTTAGGCTTTGGTGTTGAACCATGTATTTGTATAGGTACATGAAAGCCAATTTAATAAAAGAAAAAATCAGATAAGGGCTGCTTCGTATTAGAAAGAGCTAATCAGATGATCTTTTGTGAAGCCTTTTTGAAACAACCTTTGGCTTACCAGGGAGCCATTCTATTTTCTGGAAATGTGAACTTCTTTTCCTGTAATTCTGTGAAGGCGGTTCTTTGGGATTTCTTTTTTCCTGGAGAAAAAAAGAGAGAGAAATGAGAAATCTAAACAGAATGCTACCATCTTTATTTCTAAGGAAGAGCAAATAAAAAGTAGCAGTTTCCAATGAAATAACACAATCTAAAGGGCCAAATGATAAATTAATGGAAACTGGTTCTTGTATATTGTTTTGGAGACTAAGCACATTAGATTGAATTGTTTCACAACCAGCACGCCTAATTATTGTGTCTGCCACATTCATCTATTTAAATCATTCCCAACTTTTGGATTGCTGCCTAGAATATTATTGCAGTACGTGTTTCAGCTGGCTGTTCCCTTGTCATGCACTACTTCATGAAGGAGGCTGATTTCGTTTGGAAAAAGAAATAGAAGCAAGTATTGGTAGGATATTTAGAGTACCTGATAAGAAGCAATGATAGGTTTCATAAAGTTGATGTGAACGAGCTGAATGTGAACTGATATTATATTTGTTTTGTCAGGTCAGTGATTTAAAAAGTGCCTTTGTGAAGTCACTTTTATGAGAGAGGACTGCTACGCCTGTGTTTTCAAAATACTGTCTTTGCCAGCTAGACATTGCCTTGACCTTACCTGTGGCGGAAGATACCTCAACTGTCTTGATTTGCCAATTAATTGATGGGAAACTGAACTCACCGTAAAAGCAGGAAGAAGGAATTACTATTACTGGGACATGAACAAATGAATGCATTGCTTTTCTTGTGTAATCAGTACCAGCAAGCAACCTGCGGCGAACTAATATTCCATCCAAGAGTGCCATTGCAGTGAAGGACGTGTGCTTGTAACCGGTGCATCAGTGATACAATCAGCAGACCCACACGTTTTACAGACAGAAATGCTCCTGAGCATGATCTTCTTCAGCCAAAAGTCTACAAGTGGGACTTAATGATTGATGAGTGACTGCTCGCCGATAAACTTTCTCAGTTTATTCAGTGTTGTGTGGCTTGGACATTGTTAACTGTCCACTTTTAAAAAAACAAAAAACTTTCTTTCAATTGGAATTATTTTTTTCCTGGTGTTTTGTTTTGTTGTTTTTTTTTCCTTCGTCAGTAACTTTGGAAATTTCTTTGGCGTAATTCGCTTGACGGGGAAGTTCTACACAAATTCTGCATCAGCCTTTCAACATGGCTTTGAATGTTGCTCCTGTACGAGATACAAAATGGCTAACGTTAGAAGTGTGCAGACAGTTTCAGAGGGGAACTTGTTCACGCTCTGATGAAGAATGCAAATTTGCACATCCCCCTAAAAGTTGCCAGGTTGAAAATGGAAGAGTTATTGCCTGCTTTGATTCCTTAAAGGTAAGGAAGAAAATTGCATGTGCAATGTAGTTGCTGATATATTGTATTGTAAGCAAAAATTGAAATTGAATTACAGGTAATCAGAAGGTAATTTTGTGGTTTGTTCTTGGTAAGATGTATGTTAATACAAGTGTTACTTGTCTTAACTTTTGTTTATTGAAGCTCTGAAAAGCTTTCTTTCTAAGGTTTCTTCTTTTCCAGTGTCAATATGTTGTTTACTGAAATGTCATATGACTGTGGGATACAGGATTGCTTTCAGCTGGTGTGACAACTGTAGTTACATTTTATAAATTACCACTGTTCCACTGCAAATGAAAATACATGATGGCAGACTACTGGGCCATTGTCAGAGTGCTAGTGAGTCAAATGTTATTTTAAAAAAGTACATTTTCATTTAAACCAATAAAAGTAAGAAAAGTCTATCCATTGCTTCAATTTTGACACAGCAGATTGTTTACCCTAGTATTGTAGACTCCAAGATACATGAATAGCGTTGCTCTTTATGTACATATTGTTAGTATAGATAGCCATCTAAGTTTAGAACAGAATGAAGGGATGCAGAGTGCCTGCATTAGAAATAGTGTGGCCAGCAGCAGCAGGGAGGTGATCATCCCCCTGTACTCAGCACTGGTGAGGCCGCACCTCGAGTACTGTGTTCAGTTTTGGGCCCCTCACTACAAGAAAGACATTGAGGCCCTGGAGCGTGTCCAGAGAAGGGCAACGAAACTGGTGAGGGGTCTGGAGCACAAGTCTTATGAGGAGCGGCTGAGGGAGCTGGGATTGTTCAGTGTGGAGAAGAGGAGGCTCAGGGGAGACCTCACTGCACTCTACAACTTCCTGAAGGGAGGTTGTGGTGAGGAGGGGTTTGGCCTCTTCTCCCAGGCAACAAACAGGACCCGAGGAAATGGCCACAAGTTGTACCAGAGGAGGTTTAGGTTGGACATAAGGAAGAACTTTTTCTCTCAGAGAGTGGTCAGGCACTGCAATGGCTGCCCAGGGAGGTGGTGGAGTCGCCGTCCCTGGCAGTGTTCAAGAGGTGCCTGGATGAGGAGCTGTGAGATGTGGTTTAGTGCTTGTGGTAGCAATGGTGATGGGAGGATGGTTGGACTGGATGATCCTGTAGGTTCTTTCCAACCGTGTGTTTCCATTATTCTATGATTTTCTCCTGTGGAGCAAATCTAGTACTTATACTGGTGAGGTATACAGACCACGAGGTCTGTGTGACCTCCTAATGACATCACACACGCTTCAGAAAGCTATTTTAAAAATTTTGAAAAAATATTTTGCTCTGCTGAAAAGACTGAATAACCCCATGGGATTTGAGGAGTACACGATGTTTTCTGTGAAGATGTGCTTGTATTCTCATGTAAACAGAGGGACAAAAAACATTTTTGTGTGTATAAATAATGATCAGGAAAAGTTACCCATTTGAAATTCTATTTTGAAAACTGGGGCAATTTATCTTTCGGGCATGGGGAATATATTGGGCTGCTTTTTAAATTCAGCTCTGTAAATCGGAATTTCAGTTACTTACTGAGAGCTCTTGCTATGGCAGTATCAGTGTGAATGAGAACAAAGTTCCACGTTATTTGAAAACATTTGTTTAATTCCATTACACTTTTGAAAATTTTTCATTACAATACAAAATGCTCTACTACTCATCTCTTTTTCTGTGTGTGCTGATTTTTTTTTTTTTCTCTTCTTTTGAAGACTCAGAAGAAGGTAACTTGGTGGAAGTGTTTGTGAGGGGTTTATGTTCTGTCTGTCCTGTAAACCAGAACAGCACCTTTGGAGTCATCACATCGAATGCTATTAATGACCTTAATCCCTGGATTACTGCACGATAAACTGCAGCAACGTCTTTGTAGATGTTCTAGTATGTTGGTCACTTGCCAGCGGGGTGATTTCTTCTTCTTAATGGATGGGCCAGCAAAAGGACAATAAGTAGCTTTCATAGAAAATAAGCAAGTCGGTGCAATTGTTTCAAATGCAATGTTTTACCCGTTGTAGAAGCTCAGGAGACAGTTTACAAGCTGCCAAAGAAGTTTAATTTAAAACTAAGGCTTTTTTTGAGTGTTTGTTTGTTTATAGAACTGTAAGATTTTAAATTGGTCAGACCATAGCTTAATTCTTCATTTCTAACATCAAACCTGAATTTGTGTTTTATCCCTATAACCTTGGAAGCAGGGGATTAGTGTGAGAGGAGAATCATTCTTACACTCTTATGATTCCCTGACCAAACGAGTTATTAAACAACAGAAGACTTGGCCATGAGGCAAATCAGTGCCAAAGCAATAGTCTTAATTTCAGAGTTTAGAAGTATAACCCTAGTAGCTGTATAGATAAAAGCAAATCTAGGAAGAACTTCAGTTGACCTAAAACTCAATGCTCTGAGTGTGTATGCCCCTTCTTTCTCTGGAAGAAAAAGGAATTGATGTTATGAAGCTGCACTGGTTACAATGGGCTTTATTGCTTCTTCCATGACTGCCCTTGCTGGGCAGGAGGCCTGATGTGGGGCAAAGTGCTCTGTGTTCATCCTATAACAGTAGGGCTGGCAGGGCAAGAGGCTGCTGCTGCATCTTCAAAGCTAAAGCATGCTTGTGCTGCCTGCTCGCCTTGCCCTGACACTGCAGGGTGCCCGAGGCTCCAGCACCAGTTATTTGAGCTACAGGCTTTTGTGCTGGGATGATCACCACCCAAGAAATGGAACTTGTGTTGCAGCCAGATTTAATAATGCAGTGAGGGATTGCTGTGGGTAACTTGCTGACAACCAGCATCGTTGCTCAATGGGAAGAAGTCCGAAACCATTTTAAAAACAAAGTCAAAGCAAACAAGCACTTTTTGTCCTTGTGCAGTAGGCACCAGCTCTGATGGGCTGGCACTTCCAAACCTGGCACTGGGGGCCAAAACTGAGGTGCCCTGCCCTGTCCTCTGCTCTGTAGCTCTGCTCCCCAGGCATCTGGCAGAAGGGAGCAGGCACCCATGCCTCCTGTGCTGTGTTTGTCAAGCTCATTTGATCAAACTGCCGGTAAAGATGGGATCGGAACGAGACGCCCAATTGCGGCCTGAAACCACAGAGGCAGAGGCTCAGGTTTCCTTCTGCTGACCGCTGCAAGCTGGCTGATAATGTCTGCGCAGCTCAGCATCAGTCAGAGCCCAACCTTCAATACATGGAGGGCTTTCAGGAATTGCTGAAACTGCATGGCTCGAGGCTGTTGTCAGCGAGTATCCCGAATCCGCTATCTGCATTATTCCAAAGGGTGTTTGTAAATTGATGCACGTATGGCAAGAATGTGTCCAGATAGCTCAATTTGTTTATACTGTTGGTGGAGAGGCTGCTGTTGTTAGCCACATAAATCTATCTGATGGCGCGGCTTCCTGAAATGCTGGCGTTGGTCATATGGCTTCAGAATAACTCTTTGGAATTCAACAGGCGGGATGACATTTTATGTAAATAAACAGTCCAGAGTTATAGATAAAATCAGAATTTAATGAAAAAAAAACAGAAGCTGTTTTCTTTACTGAACACTGAGCCATGCTTTAATGCGGGCAATTATTTAGAATTTATTTGTATAATAGCCAGAGCTTTGGAGATTTAGCATTTTTGCTGTCTTGGTTTGGTGCATCTGCTGTAAAAATAAATAACAGTGAGTAAGCTGAGTGTCTTTGGATAAATATCTTCCTACCCAGAGAAGAAACAGGATTTTTTTAGTCTAAGATTGAAGTATATATTGCATTTATGTGGTGCCTTGCAGCTACAGCACCTCTATAAGAAATCAGTCAGACACAAGATACAGCACTCAGGCTGTGGCTGTCCTTGAACCACAAATCATAACGGTCCACTTTCAGAGAAAGAACATGCACCCTCTGGATGTGTTCTTCCTTCTGGTTATCTGGGACAGGAGAGGGAGCAGTGTGGTGTCTGTGGGTGACAGCTGGATAAGACTGTTGAAGAACCTGCATGGAGCCACTGGACAGTTCAGCAGAAGCCTACAGAGATAACAAGAGGGCTAGAGCACCTCTCCTGTGACAAGAGGCCAAGGAAGCCTGGGGGAGCTCAGCCTGGAGCGAAGGTTCAGGGGGGATCTTACCCATGCCTAGAAGTACCTGAAGAAAGGGTGCAAAGACTACAGAGCCAGACTCTGTTCAGCAGTTCCCAGTGCCAGGACAAGAGGCCATGGGCACAAACTGCAGCCCAGGAGGCTCCCTATGAAAACGAGGAGCAGTGCTGTGCTGTGCAGGTGCCGGAGCACTGGCACAGGCTCCCTGCAGCTCTCCAGAAGCTACCTGGCTGTGGGCCTGGGCATCCTACTCTGGGTGGTGCTGCTGGAGCAGGCGGCCTTCTCACCTCAACAGTTCTGTGATTTTGTGACCAGAAACATTTTCACTGTCTGCCTGTAGCCTTGTGATTGGTTAAAGGTAGTAAAAGCTGGTGTCAAAAGAGGAAACAATCGCAGCCAAGGGATGCTCAACTCTGGGCTGCACCACATCCTTCTTTGTGCTCGCATTGCTGTCTTGTGGTTGTGCAGTACACCAGGCTGGGAAATTGACTGTGGTTGAAACAAAGTTGTTGCAGTTGCTGCGGTCAGAAGGGACCAATTGTGGGTACCAGCAGAGCTCTGCTGCTTCTGCAGGAATCATGCCATGGCCTTAGGTCCAGGCTTCTGGAGTAATGGGATTGTATCAGAATCCAAGTTTTCCCATATTAAAGGGATCTATTTATAGGTCTGCTGGTTCCAAGTAAAGGGTCAATAGAATGTAGAGAACATTGCTTGCTTTTAACTCAGAAAGCATTTTTGACTCTGAAAACCTGTCCTAGTAATACTTGGCTTTAAACCCAGAAAAATTTGCAACAACCACCCCTCGGACTGATTGCAGTTTTTCAGATCCAAAATGCTCACTGTCTAGGCTCTGAATATCCTTCATCTGTGAAATGCTCCAGGCTAGACAGAAATAGCTCAGGACTAATGAGCCTGGTTCAATTGCAGGCCAGAAACTTGCTGATGCCAGCTCCTGCCACATGGGCTTCTGAGATAGGGTTTGGCATTTTTTGTTTGGTTGAAGACAGAGCCTGGCCTGAACTACAGAGAGTACTTTGGGGGTTGTGCAGGGGATCGTTCCTGTTATTCCTGTAGGCACTGGTGCAGCAGTCAGTAGATAAGCACCCATTAACCCTTCACAGATAGCGTTGCCTCCAGCATCTGGGCTCCTTCCAGCAGGAGCCTTCACTGCTCTGCCAGCTAGTGCAGCACCTGAAATTGAACCAGGCAAGTGGCTCCCACTAGCTTAACATGCGGATGAAAGTGGCTCCCAGCTAATCCAGTTGCCTGTGGCTGACATGGATTAAGGCATATTTACATGAGGAAGCCCAGAGCCTTTGCCAGTGGACAGGAAAGCAGCGAGCTACTGAAGAAGCTCTGCCAGTCAGAGCCTTGTCTGCTGCCTTAAACCATACTGAAGCCTTCTGTTGCTTCCCTTTGGATGCTGCAGTGATTTGGGGCCTTGTGATGAGGCCTATTTAAGGGGAAGTTTCAATTTCAGGAACTCCTCTGTTTGTGTTTTCATATTCTTGCTCAGTTCAAGCAGCTTAAATCTTCAAAAGTGAAGAACCTGGATATATAACACTTCATATATCACATGCAGAGACCTCCAAGTTCAACATTGCAAGCAAGCAAACCTGTTTTAAAGACTTACTTGTCCTGCTAGTGGTAAAGAACAAAATCCTTTAAGAGGAATATTAATTTATATTATAATCTCTAGGGACGAGAACATGCAGAACTGTGCTGTATTTAAAAAATAGTAATAATAAAACATTA